CTATATTCCAAAGAGAAATGAGTATGTCCACATAACACTTGTACATGAATGTACACAGATTTTTTCACAAAAGCCAAAAAAATGAAAGCCACCCAAATGTCCACTGATGGATGCAGAAACAAAATGTGGTACGATGAAATATTATTATTCATCCATAAAAAGAAATACTGGTATACGGTAAAACACGGATGGACCTTAAAAACACTATGCTGTGTGAAAGAAGCCAGTCAATAAGAGACCGCCTACTGTATAATTCCATTTGCATGAAATATCCAGATTAGGTTAATCCAGAGACAGAAAGTGGAACAGTCGTTGCCTAGAGCTGGGGCGTTCAGGAAAAAATGCGTGACTACTGATGGGTATGGGGTTTCTTTGTGGGATGATGAAATGTTCTGGCATTGGTGATAATGGTTGCATAACTGTAAACGTACTAAAAACCACTGAATCACATACTTTAAATGGGTGAATTATATCTCAATAAAGCTGTTATTAAAAAAAAAAAAGCATAGTGCAGGGTCTTGACCTGCAAGGTATTATTTTACGTTTATTTCTTAGAAACCATATTCAGAGAGATGACAGACAAATCAGCTTATAAGAAAAACTATCATTTCATATGTCTCTGAAAACTGTACGAATTCAGTTAGATGTCAGGTAAATAAAACGCTATGGATGATCTCAAAGTCAAAGGATTTATCAAACCCAATATAATATTTACCAAGCCATACTCACTTGCATGATATCATATCAAAGTACTGTTCTGTCAAAATCATTTTCACCAGTACAAATTTTCTGTAAGCATGTGACCCTATAAAATAGATCATTAAGGCAAAGCTATTTTGCTATAGTAAAGAAATCCATTACATATTTCTATTTAAACACATGGTCAAATCACATACCCAGAGTTCAGTACTGACAGCAGTGAATGTAAATCAAAAATGTACACTTCACTGCATACAAAAGGAAATAGAAATCTGAATGGCTCAAATTAAAATTTACTGTAGAATTTTAATTAAATGCCATGTTCATTTTTCTTAAAAAAATACATACCACTTTTATAGTATGGATTACTACCCTACAGTATGCATCATTTACACCAAACATTAGAGTTGTCCCATAATATATAACAAAATTGAGAAAACATAACCTAGCACACAGACAGAAGAATACAAAGCCTTCTCTAAAAAGCCTCAATCAGGGTACCTGGGTGGCTCAGTCAGTTAAGCATCCAACTCTTCATCTCAGCTCAGGTCTTGATCTCAGAATTGTGAGTTCAAGCCCCATGGTCGCAGGGAGGGGAAGCCTCATTCATACCTTAAGTCTGAATACAGACCACCACCCTGAAGCCTCTCCAGATGCTAAGTTCCAGATGCTGGTTTCTGATTAGTATCTTCCCACAGTTAGTTATCCCACAGGCTTCTCAAACTCAACCTAGCCGACACAGAACTCATTTTCTGTCCCAAAATGCACAAATTCTTCTTCCTCTTGTATTTCTTATCTCAGATAAGGTCACCATCATCTACCCAGCCATGCAAGCCAGAAACGAAAAATCAATCTGGATTCGTCCCTCTCCTCCATTTCCAACTCCCAAACATCCTTCAAGTCAAACACCAAATCCTCATCAACTCTACCTCCAAAGTGTCTGCTGTACCCTCACCATCCTCTTCCTACCAGTATGACTTCAAGTCCATCATACCTCACTGGCTCTGCCTCAAGTCTCACCACTTTTAAATAAAACCTGGCCAACATTATTGTGGGAACCACTCATCTACTCCTCTTAAAACATGTGGTTCAAATAAGCACCTTCCTCCACCTAAGCTCTTGGGTGAGGCATGTGATCCAAACATGACCAGAGTTCTCCATCCTCCAGTCACAATGACTGGTTCAGGGATAAGAATGTATCTCAAGTTGGGCCAATCAGTACCTTCCTTGGGACTTCTTACTGAAATAAGAAAAGAAGTGCACATTATTTTTTGCTGAGATCACTCGCTGTGAGAATAACGTACCTTAAACTGGCAGTATTCATCTCTGCCACCATGTGCCTGAGTCAGATTCAATCCTTACAAAGAAAGCAAGCTGGGAGACCACAAGCAAGAAGCACTAATGGTATTTTCCTGAGATCTAATGAAGCCAAAACTTCTTTGTTATATACGCAAATAAATCCTTTCTTTAAAAAAATCAATTCAACTTTGCTTTCTGTTGCCTCTCAAGTCCTAACACATTTCTTAACAACTAAATGGAATTCTCCAGCTCCACTATCTAAAATCCTTCAATCATTCTTTATTACTATTAAGGTTAAAGTCCAAGACCTTAAGGTCTGCAAATTCTGGCCCCTTGATTATTTGATGGCATAATAATCAACTTTGGCACTGCAAAACACCATAAGCAAAGTAAAAAGATAAATGACAAACTAAAGAGGAGTATCTGCAACTTTTATCCCAAGGGCTTAGGTCCTTAATATATAAACAGTTTCTAAGAAATGGAAGAAAAAAAGTACTCCTAGGAAAACAAGCAAAACTATGACCACATGGTTCACATAAGATAAAACTCAAATGGATTTTAAACATAAGAAAACATGCTCAATTTCATTTATAATAAAAGGAATGAAAATTAAAATGACATAAATTTCATTTGCATGTATATGGCAAAAACTCACAATTCTTATAAAATCTCGGTGACCAAGGCCATGGAGGGATAAGCATTCACATAGACTGCTGGCTACAAAAGGGTACAACCCCTGTGAAGAGGAATCCCTCTGGAGAGGAATTGACCCAGCAATCTGGAAGCTTATCACAAAGACACAGTGACAAAAATACAAACAATTCTATGTACAAGGGTACTCACTGCAACACTATGAAAGGGTAAAAGACTAGAAATCGCCAAATAGCCACCAGTAAAGGTCAGAATGAAGAAACCATGCAAGTACTCAGCAGCTAGAAAATGAAGATCTCTATATATTGTTCTTGTGTGACCTCCAAGTATAGTATGTCTGTATAATAAAGGGGAAACATGTGCATGTATATGTGTATGTACTGGTATGTTGTAAAACATGCACACACAGAGATACACATACACACACACACACCATATATACAGAGAGATCACACAAAAGCACACACACAGATACCACATGTATATGTGCTTACATTTTCAAAAAGTATCATTAGAAGCAAAATTAATTCTACGACAAACAACCCAGTTTCTTTTAAAAATGCTATTAAAAACAAGAGGGAAATTTATTTTAAATTAAAAGATGTTCAACCAAATGGGATGTATAGATCTTACAAGAATCCCGATCCAAACAAACCAACTATAAAAAGACATTTAAAAAAAAGACATTTTTGAGACAACTAAAGAAAATCTAACATGTACTAGGCATGAGATGACATAATTATTGTTAAGCTTGCTGGGCATGATTATGGTACTGTAGTTATGTATTTTTTTAAAGTTTATAACTTTTAATCTAGAGATTTCCCTCCTTTTTTTAAAAAACACTGTTTATTATAGATTTGTCTTACAGAAGTGCCCAGGTATCATTTTAAATAATCCTTTATCCCTCATATTTTTTGTAAACCAGTTATTCCATCTAGAAGCTTAGAATTCAGGTTCAGTTTCTTCAGCAAGAATATTCCATAGGTGGCATTTTATACTTCTTACATATAGTCCTGTTGCCAAGAATGCCCTTTTCCCCTTTGGCCTGACAAACATTTACTTATCCTTTAAGACTTGGCTCAGAAGTCACCTCCTTCGGAAAACCTCCTTAACCTGCAGTCCCATACTAAGCTGACTTCCCCTACTTACTAATCCAATAGCTAACCCTAATGGCATTGGAACTGCCTGCCCCTCTGTTGCCACAATCAGGCTGTGAACACCATTAGCAATGGACTAGTCTGCAGGACTGGACTCCATGGAGGCCTGAAGCCTAAGTGGGTGAAGTTCCAGGAAAGTAATCTTTACCCAGTAAACACATCAGATCATGGCCTGGTGTCATGGCCCAACCATTCATACCTGGTAGGCAGGCAGCACAAAGCCAAAATCTCCAGGGTAACAGGAAGGAGTAATGTTCAGGAGTAAGACCCCCTGAGAATATCAAAGGGAGGTTTTTGCATCTGGCAAACTCCTTACTATTTGTAAACACTATCATCCACAGCTGCATGGCTCAATGGGGAACTTATGGAAGCACTTCCCAAACTGGAATGGGCATTCAAATTGCCCAGAGACCTAATTCAAAATGCAGATTTGGATTCAGCAGGGCTGAAGTGGGACTCTAGATTCTGCATCCCAGGTGGATGCTGTTGGTCTGCAGACCACACTTGACCCAGTAAGGTTCTGGGAAACCTGAAAGTCAGCCCTCTCTCAGGGAACATACAGCATTAACTCTTGTCTTACTCTCTTTTAACCTAACACGGTCTGTGTCATTAAAACAAACAAACAAATCCAAATTTTAAGTCTTCTGCATCTGTTGGCACCTTTCTTCTAATATATCCCTCCTGTGACAACTACGCAATCTCTCATTCATCTAGATCTCTCCAGTCTGGAAAATATAAGCCCTCAGTAAATGCTTGTTAAATGATAGTCTATATAATCTCAACATATTTAATTCTTTTCCACCGCCTTCTTGTTAAGGTATCCTTGTTCACTGGTCCATTTTTCCCATTTGATTATCAGCTCCTCAGAGGCAGAGATTCTTCCCTTTGTGCCGTGGCCCATGGTCTGGTCTGGCACATAAGCAGCAGTCAGTGGTGTTTGCTGACTCAGCCTGATGACTGAACACGTACACACACTACGCAGGTTCTGAGAACCCTGAATACAAACCTATCCTTTTTTCTGAGGGACTTAAATGCTCACATGTAGGACTTGTTTTCACAAAAGTTTAGTAACATACACTGAAAAGGATCATCAGCTTTACTTAACAAATAAGGAAAGAGCAAAAGAAAGTTCTATATTATGCTTCTTCATAGACAACCTCATCGAGATAGGAAAAAACGTTTCACAAAAGGTACCTCAGTCTTCCCACATTCATCAGGCGGATCCTGGTGGATGGCCATTTGATACTTGACATATAAAGAAAATGACTGGCTGAAGGACGACTTGAACTCTGGGTCCTCAAAGGAGACAGGTACTAACCTCACCTTCAGAGCAAGGAAAATACAAGCAAATGCTATTGAAACATCTCTACCTGCTGATGTGCTTCTGAAGGTGAGGCTAGAGTAAGATCTCCGCAAATCCACTTCCAAAGCTCAGCGCTGGAGTTTTTCATGAAATAAATAAACCCTGGAACGTGCTGACTGGCCCAGAGCCTAAAGCTCTAACTTTATACTAACACTTAGGAGAATTTTTAACTCCTAAGGGCCAGGACAATTTATTTTTCTTTTGTTTTTTACCCTTTCCACCTATTGTGGTTCTATGCACAGAGTCAACACTATTGCTCATGGTAGTGGTCACTACTTTTGTCCCCTCTACTAGTATTGTTTTAAGATTTTTCCCCTTCCACATTTTTCTTGGATATTCTGATTTACAAAATTACAAGCATATGAGAACTTCTATTAAAATACTCTATTATCTTTAAAAAAATTCTACTATCTTACTTTTCTAGTCCCACTCAGTTGTGTATAATTTAGCTGTCATGAACTCTGTCTATACATGACTTTTAAATGGAGATAAAGCCTATTAACCATGTTGTGCAAAGTATGCCTATCATAAAAATATAAAGCCTTTTTTGCTTTTTTCCTCATAAATATTTTATCTTAGAGTTCTATTATTAATTTTTAGATAAATACATCCAGACATAGCGACTTTAAAGATAATTCATTTTACGTGTTACTTTCCACTTTGCAGTTACACGTGACTGGCACTTAACGTGTCCTAGGTAAAATTTGCACTTTCAGAATGTCCGTTACTCCACATTCCTATCATTTTGCAGATATGCTGCAAATTGAATATAAATAAAATGTACCACAAATAAATCAAGTTATAATACAATGGTATCAAATGGAGGGGCAAGTTCCATTTGCACAGAAAAATTACACTTGGCCTGCTGACCTGGCTCACAGTTGGTTTATCAGGTGGATCCTTGTGAATAACCATCTGGTAACGTTTATAGACCTGGTAAGACTCCTGAAATGTGGCTTTGAACTGAGAACTTGGTGGAGATGATCTCACCACCCTCACCTTCAGAAGGAGTTAAAAAACAATGTTCGTTAATTAATTTATTTATTCCACAGAATATGCATTAACAGTTACTCCCACCCAAAAAGAACCAAAAGTTTCCATACAAATATTAAAGCATAAACATACGATAATATTTTAACATTAAAAATTAACAAGATAGTAAATTTTTTTAAAAAGTTATTTCTCCAACTTACAGACTCATTAAAAAGGCAGAGGATCCCGTCTAAACTCTTAAGACTAAGATCTATGACTGAATTATGGAAGACTGACTCTATTGTAAAATGGCAGGATACTTCTGGCACTCAAGACACAAACACAAATAAATACTCTTGAATTCTAGTTGTATGCAACTCACCTTCAGTAAATCATTCAGAAAAACTAAAAATGTGAATATATTTTCTAGACACTCTTCATGCATCACTCCTAACTCTAAACTTACAGATTTTGTTTTTGTAAGTGTGAAAGACAACCCTCACAAAGTATTCCTATTTCATGGCATAGTTAAGAATGAAGACCCTAAAGTTAGATTTCTTTTACTCAAATTTTCAATGTCACCATCTTGGTCAAGCAAATAAATTTACCTCTCTGTGCCTTAGTTTCCTCACAAATAAAATAAGGATGAGTTAACAGTAACTGCACAGTAATGGTGAACATTTATTTTAACACTGATTATTCACTAACCAGTTAAAATGTGTTAGCAAAACAGAAGAGTAAAACAGAAAATCGAATGCAGTATAATAAAAGGGCTAACTGGAAAATTTTCACGTGTGCCATAAGAAGCAATTCTTATGCAAAGAAAGAGTAATATACGGTGGACAAAAAGTCTCTGCCCATCCAAGGTATCATTATGTTAAAAAAGTAAAAGCTGCTGGGGCGCCTGGGTGGCTCAGTCCGTTAAGCGGCTGCTTTCGGCTCAGGTCATGATCTTGGGGTCTCGGGATCGAGCCCCACATCCGGTTCCCTGCTTAGCGGAGAGCCTGTTTCTCCCTCTCCATCTGCCTGTCACTCTGCCTACTTGTGCTCTCTCTCTGTCTCTCTCTCTGTCAAATAAATAAATAAAATTAAAAAAAAAAAAAAGTAAAAGCTGCCTACTACAGAACTGCTATTACATACTTTAAGTAGTATGTTCAATTCTCTTTACAATTTGAGAAGAAGAAAGTCAATACCAAAATCAGAGCAGTTAAGGAATTACAATAGTCAAAGTTGTTAAGACTTATGTCTGATAATATATATGATCCTAAGGTTTAGATTGCATTAAAGTTAATTTTCAATATCAGATCCTTAGCAAAGCCCTTAGATGGTATTAAGCTACAAATTCAAAGGCTGACCAGTTATTAATGAGATATGAGAATATAATAAAATCATTATCATTAATGTTTCGGAAAAAAAATGTATAAACACCAAATACTGAAGAATGTAGATTTAATCTGGGATGTAAACAAAAAATAATAGGAATACTCTAAAAGTAATCATACTATGCCTACAGAGGTTTGAGAGAATTACTGAGAGAGGATTAAAGTAGTACAACTTAGTACTATTTAGTTAATTCCTAATTGCTGGCTCGCATATGTACTACCATTTGTTGCCTTAATGAAGATCAGGATACTAGAATGGATAAAACAGTGATTTTCCTGGTGTGATCTATTCTCCTTCACAATCTAACCAAAATTGCTAACAGTGAAATTTTAAATAGTATGTTTTGTCACTTTAACTACTAAATTTCAATCAAGGGATACAAAAAGCCAGAGTCCCTTACATAGTAACATGCTAAAACTGGAATTATCTTCACAACTTTAGTAGCCAAACTGCCTGAAGTATTTATTTTAAATCTTAAAAAAAAAAAAAAAAAGGTTTTTGTCAAATAGCAGTTAACCTAGTAAATACAAATGCTACTCCATCCCAATTCACTTTAATTTCCCATTATTTAAACAGCAAAATATCAACTTAGTATAACCTCAAATGAAAATAATCAAGGTACCAACAACAACAAAAAAATAAAACAAAACACCCTCCAAAGTACCTCTAACTTGTGTGATGCGTTCTCTGGTAAAGATTCAAAAATTAAATCTTCAAGTGATTTGGGCTGGTTGGATTTATTAGCCTTTGGTGGGAACAAAGATGGTGGTTCACCTTGAGCCTGGAAACCCTCAAGTTCTCCAGCTGGGTTCTGCTGCATGAGTTTTAACCTTTTCCTTTCTTTCCGGATTTCCTTTGCTTTCCGACATGGAGGCTTACTCAAATCTGCCCCTTTGCCTAAAAACAATTGCAAAATATTAGACCAATCACATTTGACTCTAGAAATGTTTTTTTCCCCCAAAAGTCTCAAAGATTCTACAGAATTAAGTCTAAAGAGTTCCAATAGCTAGATTAGCTTTGTAAGTAGATGTTTCAGAAGATTCTGGTGTAGAGCTCTAAGTTGATCTTAAAATTCTATCTCAGAAGTAGGGACTGTCAAAGAAAGTAAATAGTCACAGAAACTTCACACAGCTCTTACTGTGAAAATTTTTAAAAAAATTAATATTCATCCACTTCTCTGCCTTTATATTATAAGTTGAAAAAAACATAATCAAATATCTTCTACTACAGGACACGGGTATTTCCATCCCATTCCTGAGGGACATTTCTCTCAAAGCACTGGTGACATAAATACATGCTTAGGACCTGGGTGTAAATGAGTACCGACCCCAGAAAACATTCTGGCAGGTTTTTTGATGAAAAAATACCCTTGCTTACTTGAAAGTATTTGTGTCTCTCCATCTAACAATTGGATGGGGTCTCATTTGTTCAGTTCCAGTTAATGAAAGTTTTGTTTGAATTAAAAGAGCAAATATCAAACTGAAAGGCCTTTAAGATATAAAAATTTTAGCTACAATAAACCACGAACTTTAGTGAGTGCCCTTTCATCTACCAAAAAGTCTTCAAGGACTTGATGTTGAGAAGATCATTAAGAGTTAGAGGCAAAAAAAAAGAGAGGCAAATAACGAACACAAATGAAAACTTCAAAATAATTTAAATGCCCAATAACAGAATAATTATACAATTTTTAAAACAGCTAAGCAACAGAATATCAGTCATTAGAAATGCTTAGGAATTTTCAGGGATTTGTCATTACACAAGGTTAAAAAATAATTCCACTTATGTATAAATAGACACATGAAAAATATTTAGAAAAAAGCCTGGAAAGAAACATGACAGTCATTTTACATGGGTTTAGAAGTAGAGAAAGGACTTTTTTTGCTTTTTTTTTCTTGCAGTGTTCTCTTTTCTCCAAATTCTCTAACAATAAACATACCTTTGTAATTTTTTTAAAGTCATTAACAAAATAAAAATGCTATTTTAAGATTCTAAAACAGTATTTACAAATCATATAAAAGTCAGCAATATGAAGTTTTACAAGACTAGCAAGTTCAATTTTATAGAAAAGAAAATCAAGACCCACGGTGTTAAGGGACTTGCCAGAGACCAAAAGCTGGTCAAAAGAGATGAATCTGTTGTAGGGCGCCCAGGTGATTCAGCTGGTTGAGCGTCTGGCTCTCGATTTTGCTCAGGTCAGGATCTCAGAGTCATGAGATGGAGTCCCGGGTCAGGCTCCATGCTTAGCATGGAGTCTGCTTGGGATACTCCCTCTCCCTCTGCCCCTGATGATGCACGCTCGCTCTCTCAAACAAATAATAATCTTATTAAAAAAAAACCAAACAAATCTGATGAGAAAATAGTGAGTTCACAAATAGTAAAATCATATTACAACTTCACTAACATTTTTTCCAATAAAAAACAAACTTTACGTATAAAAACAGACTTTGAATAAGTCTAATAACCAGGCAACAAAGGACTGATTCTATAATTAACCATTACTCTATTGCCTTAAAGAATGAATTTTCTTTGTCCTGGGAACCTGTCTCCTCAAATTTGCTCTGAGAGGCACAAGAGCATTTGGTTAAGAGCACACACTCTGACATGGGCTGCCTGAGGTCATCTCTGTCACTGGCTAGATGATCTTGGGCAAGTTTCCTTGTCCATACAAAAAAGATAATAACCAGTACTACCTATGGAGCTCTATGAGGATTAAATGAGTTAACACGTATGTAGCTCATAAAACAATACCCACTGTTGGGCACCTGGGTGGCTCAGTTGGTTAAGCATCTGCCTTTGGCTCAGGCACGATCCCAGAGTCCTGGGATTGAACCCTGCGTCGGCTCCCCCCATTCAGCGGGGACTCTGCTTCTCCCTCTGCCCCTCCTCCCTACTCATGCATGCCCTCTTTCTCCCTCTCTCTCTCTCAAATAAATAAATAAAATCTTCAAAAAAAAAACCAAAACAAAACAATACCTATTATTTAATTAAGGTTATCTATTATCATTAGCTATTATATGCACCACCAATCCCTACAATGTTTTAGCTATACAGGTCCTCCATAAATGGTAATAAGGGAAAAAAAAAAAAAAAATCCTGCATTTTCTAAAAGTTACTCAAAACTACATTCCCTACCAAAGTCTTAAAACTATGAACAAATTATAAAACTACAGTGAACTGAGAAACAAGTTTCAACATTTTTATGAGAGACCAGCTTTACACTAATTAATTCATTGGACTAAGCAATCCTTATCGTGCTTGCTTTACTCTCCACATATGTACTATCACATTATCAACTGAAATAGACAGCAAATTAGGATTTCAGCTTACTTAGGGGATAAAGATCTCCCCAGATCAATAAGATCCTTCAAAAGAACAGGAGCAGATCAATATAAAATCAGTATACCATACCAACCCTGCACCCACAGAGGTTCAAACCACTCAAGGATCCCAGATTAGTCCCAAGAGTTTTGAATAGAGTTCAACAGACCTGCATAATTTCTAATTAAGTTTCAGGAAATATACTTTTAACATTTTTTTTTTTTAAAGATTTTATTTATTTATTTAACAGAGAGAGACATAGCGAGAGCAGGAACACAAGCAGGGGGAGTGGCAGAGGGAGAAGCAGGCCTCCCGCCGAGCAGGGAGCCCGATGCGGGGCTCGATCCCAGGACCCTGGGATCATGACCTGAGCCGAAGGCAGACGCTTAACGACTGAGCCACCCAGGCGCCCTACTTTTAACATTTTTAAAATAAAAAGGAAATGAATGCTTTCAGAGAAAATCCAAAGATTCCTACATTTTAAAACTGTCTTACATTTCTAGTGAGAAATATCCTAAGGGGAAAATACCTGCAAACTCTTTTTTATGGTTTCAGTAATCACACTGCTGAAGATAAGGTTGGTACTGTTCTTCTAAACTGTTGTGTACAGTAGGGTAAAGCAAGTGGGTAACTGCAATATTCCAATTCTAATTCTACCACTCTCTGTGTCCTTGAGAACCAGGTTTCTCAGTGTGGAAGAAAGAAGATCCAAATGTCAAACAAACATGTAAAAATATGACAGTCCTGAATTTGAACTGTAAGTATCAACATGACCTCTCATGACCCCTTGCGTCTGTTCATTGAAAAAGCCTAGAAACCAATGACCAAGCCAGTAGCCATAATGGTCACATCTAGTCTAGTTGATGATCTCCAAATACCATTTTCCACTAAAAGAAACCAGGACTCCTTGGAGAAATGGCTGTACAAGATGATCCAGGAGCATCATGTCATAGGAAGCTGCCAAGAGTACTACCATTTTATCCTAAAAAAAACCCTAGAAGCCAACTTAGAGAAATTCCCACAGGACAGAGAATTAAAACATAGCCAATGTGTTTAGACCCATGAGTTCACAATGATGGATGGATGGATGGATGGAAGGAAGGAAGGAAGGAAGGAAGGAAGGAAGGAAGGAAGGAAGGAAGGAAGGAAGACAAAAGAAAGGAAAGGAAAGGAAAGGAAAGGAAGGAAGAAATTAGTCATTGTTAGAAGAATTATTTTGTAGGATGGAAAATAAAATGCAATAATCAAGAATTCCTCTTGCCTTTGCTATGAGTTCTATGGGAAACAAACAGATGAGATGAAGGTTCTGTTTATGGAAGTATCCAGCTAGTAAATGAAAAATGAATGACAGACTTAGAATATCTAATGGATCAATGGATTTAGGCACTAAGCATTGATCCATGGCTATTAGCATTAAAAAAGAGAGGTACCCAGATATTATGTGTCTCCTGAAAGAACATCCCACCACCCATGAAGTAACCTCACCTATCCTCAAATAAATAATTTGAACTCAAATCTGATTAAGACTTCTCTCTCTCCCCAAAAAAGCAAACAAACCAGAAACACCAAAAAACAAAATACAATTTAATCTTGAATCTGGTCTGATTTAATCTTGAATCTCTAGATCCAACAATCAGTTTATAGGCAGGTACAGGAATATGTTAAACTGCACTGCAGATGTAATTAAATAACCCAGAACAACCAACCTAGTTTCTTCAACAAACAAAGTGCAAATAAAAAAGTGGGAGTGATGGAAGGAACCTACAGATCTACAGAGAGTTTTCTAATTGTGTCAACCAACTACAATATGTGGCTGTATTTGTATCCTGATGCAAACAAAATTGGAAACTTAAACATAGACTATTCAGTAACATTAAGGAATCTTACTTAGGTGTAATGGTGGGAGTATGAATATGTATTTGAAAGTTCTTTTATTTTTTTTTTAAAGATGTATTTATTTTAGAGAGCAAGAGAAAGTATTCACAGACTTGAGTGGAGAGAGGGGCAGAGGAAGACACTCTCAAGCAGACTCCCCACTGCACATGGAGCCCAAGTCGGGTCTTAATTTCATGACCCATGAGATCATGACCTGAGCTGAAATCCTGAATGGGATGCTTAACTGACTGAGCTACGTAGGCACAAGTTCGTATCTTTTAGAGAACCATTCTGACATATGGGATGATATAATGTCTGGAATTTGCTTCAATATAGTACTGGGGGGGCGGGGACAACTGGATGATGAGTATCAATGACCCAAGAGTGCCCATCATGAATCAGTAACAGTGTCACATAAGAGCAGGGTACGTGGAAGTTCATTATAATGGTCTATGTTTCCAAAATGAAGGTTTTTAAAATTTAATAAACTCTAAGTAATATTTACAATAAACAAAATAATAAACGAACTGACCCTATCACCCAAGAGAGTAAGAGTTGAAAGAAATTATCTAAATCATTCAGAACATTTCATTAGACTATTCTTACTAATTAGGATGAAATCTCAGTTGGCAACCCCTTAAACGCCATGAAAGCCTTCGTAAGAAAAACTATTCAAGGAAAATGCAAATGCACAGTTTTCTGTATGTTAACATGATTTAGATAAGAAAAACTACAATAGTAATAAAAATGTCTCCTTTGGATCATTCTATATAAATAAACATAAGAACAAATTCAGGAACTGAAGCATAACCATCCAAACTGACATTTAATGAAGTAATTTTTTTAAAAAGTCATACAAACACATGCATGCACATATATATGTATATATAATAAACCCATTTAATGTTGGATACTTTTTTTTTTTTAAAGATTTCTTTATGTGAGAGAGAATGAGCACGCGAGCAGGGGGAGGGACAGAGGGATAGAAAGAATCTCCAGCAGACTCTGTGCTGAGCCCAGAGCCAGACATGGGGCTTGATCCCAGGATTAGGAGATCATGACCTGAGCCGAAATGAAGAGTTGGACACTTAACCAACTGAGCCACCCAGGTGTCCCAATTCTGTATACATTTTATAACCCAATTCTTTTACAAAATATAGAAAAAAATTTTTTGACCTTATTAAAGGTGAAGTTAAATATCAAAATTTGGAAATTTTTAAACTAAAATTCATTATGATTACATAAAGAAATCTAATGATAAACTAGAGAACTTTAATGTCTGTATCTTGAACATAATACCTAAAATTTACTTTGTCTCACTTCACACAAAAAACAAAAATGTTTAGCAGCACATCTTTTCCAGATAAAAATTTGATTCTCAAACCTCCAGGGTCCTAAGGTAGTAAGAAGAAATGGAACTCTTTTAAAATATCTGTATTTGGGGATAATAAAACTAATTTAATTTCTGGATTTTTAAACATAGCAGTTTTTAAAGATATGATTTGTCCATTCTAAATCCAGGTAATAATAAATTATACAAAATATGGATCTATTTTGCAGATTTCACGTAAGTCATGTTTTTAGCTGATGGGAGAACCCAGGGGCTACAAAATCCCAAACACAAAGAAAATCACTAAGATTTTAAAATGGCCACAGAGCAAACTTGCCTTACCTGGCTTAGGAACCATGTGCATTTTAATTGGATGGGATGGCTCACCAGAGCCCAACTTCTCCTCTATATGTTGTGACTGAATTAATTCCTTAGATTCTTCTTTCTTTGGGCTTTTTCCTTTCTTCTTTTCTTCACTCTCAAAGCTCTCTTTGAGGTCATCACTGAGTGTTTTAAGGTCACACTGTATATCCAATTTATTTATTAACGCAAAGTCACCCGCAACAGTCTCCTCCATGGAGGGCTCCATGGGCTCATCTACAAATCAGAAGTCAAAGTCCATCAGCTAGGCCATCTGACACAGTTAAGACACACATAGGAAAAAAAACAATGCCCCCTTTTTCCCATGTGGAAGAGACTACTGTGTATGCATAAAATCCATTCTCCTGGCTTCCAAAGTAACAGAGCCGTAGTTAAGACTGTGGCACCCAAGCAAAGGTATGCACCCCCGGTCCCTCTGCAAGTTGTGACCAAGCTCCCACCAGTGGAACATAACCAAACTGATATGCCCAATTTGGCCTCGCTTGTTTTCAAAGGAATTTTGTGACCCTGAACTTTGACCCTTTACCCTACCCACTGGCTGGATTAGTGAAAACCAGAGTGACTGGAAATCACACGTTGAAAGGAGTCCCAGAATGGATGGGGTGGGGGGGTGGGGAACAGAGCTGCAGGCTAACGTGGAACACCCACGCTGGACTGTTATATGAGGAAAGAAAGACTTCTATCATTGTTTAGTCATTGCAGTTTGGTGTCTTTGTTATAGCTGTCTAGCCTTCCACTCTACATCACCCTTACGAATTCAGTTGCAGAAATAAATAATTTAGAAGCCTAAAACAAGTCAAATAGAGAACCAAATGTAAAAGCCATGTGTAAAGACAGGTAACCATCAATTTATAAATGGAAGGCACCTTAAAGCTTATCTGAATGTTAATTTTTGAAACTCAGAACATGATTCCCAGCCACTGAAAAAAATTTTTGACTAACAAAATTTACTTAGTTTTTCGGATTATGTACAGACAGTACTAATCAGAGCTGCACCAAAATTCTGGTATTTCCAATGCCCAATTGCCCCTGAACCTCTACACCCCTGAGCCTTCCCGCCTCTTTGTTGCCCATAGCTCTGCCAAGTCTGCTCCAGGTTGTCCTGAATCTTGGTCTGTTAAGGAGAGTGCATGAAGGCGAAGAACTTACCTGTCCTGCTGGTCACTGTATCACTAGTGCTTAAAACAGGGACTGGTACATTGTGGGCAATGAAAACACACTTGGGGAATATATTAACAAGTTAAAACTGGGATGGAAGGCTTCCAGGATTAGGTATTTTCTATGGCAGAAGTGAGAAAGAGCTCTAAGGATAGGTAGCATTCCCAATTATTAGGCTCATGTATTAGGCACTGCCTATATGAAAACTTTTAAAAGGAAAAGAAAAGACACTGAAAAAACTGAAAAAGCAAAGTATCTGTAACCAAAGTTCATTAAATATTTCTAATTATCTTGTAGGAAATTGACTCTCAATTCAAAATTTATCACACAAATAAGAAAATTCCGGGCAATAAGATTTACTGAAGGGCTTCCTCAAACACAGAAAACCTGAGCTTTACTCATGATTCAAAGTGATTATGCAATATTGTGTAAGGTGCACCTAAGCATCTGTTTCTCAAATGTAATACCACTTCCCATTTACTGCACAAGGTACTATTAGGATCAAGTAAGATAAGAGTTGTCAAAGTACTATGAAAACTAAAGTTCCAATAAACCCCAAGACATCACAATATCTTTAAAACTGTCCTCCATCTTCTTCCGAGGCTAGACTTTCCCTGACAGGCATTCCCCTTATCCTTGAATTTTGGGCCAGTGGTAATAGTAACAGCAACACTAACAGCAATCCCCATCAGAAGAACAGTACTACCTGACTGCAGTATGGACCCATTCCCCTACTTAATAACCGAAAATGACAACCTTGGAAATCTACATCGATGTAAAGAGTTTTTACACCCCCAACTCATCTTACCCTCACAATTTCCTTTGGAAATTTCTCCTTTAGCCAGAAATTTCAACATTTTTTTCAAAACCTTCTTGTGAGATTTTGATGGCTGAAACTGTAAAGGTCGGCACCTAGGAAAGCAAATATTTAGAAAGTGAACTCAAACTAGAAGAAATAAAATGAGTTCTGAGCAGTGTCTAGTACAGAAAGGCAAAACCCATGCCCGGGATTTTTGGGTAAAGATAGGGCTTGATGTAGCCTCTAGTCCCACCCCAAATCTCACTAAAACTACATTAAGGAATTAGAAAAAAAGAAAAAGGCATAAATCACTGGAAAAAAAAAAAGAGAAGAGGAGAAATGCTGGAAGCTGGGCAGAACATGCACAAGTGGTAACTGACTTAGCAGACCAAAGAATTTTAAATCCTAAACCAACAGTGGGAAAAGCCAGAATGATAACCAATTTTCTTTACATTAACCCTACAAATTTTAGGGATTGGTTGATACCTGATACCTCAGGAGATAAGAGTGAAGGTGATTCTAAAAATAGAAAGATCTCTTGAAAGTCTGTTTTGGAAGCAGTTAGATGTCTGATGCCTCCACCACTCCACATAGGACTCCCTACACAACCCAGGAGAAAGCTGCATATTTAGGAAAGAGTAAAAAATAGGGCCTCCTACATGAGGATGTAGGCACAGTGGAAAGCAATGAAAATGTACTAGAAACAGGAAGCTTAAATGAAAGTCTACATACTGAGTGTGGAAACCTCCAACCCATTTCCCAACCCAGCCACAAACATGGGCACTTTCTCTCCAGAATGTGACCAGACTACCCCCCTGGAAAGTCAGAATCACCAGACACTCAAGGAGAACCTCTACACAGACACTGGAGAGCCTAAAAATACAAATATCCTAAGAAGTACACGCTCTTATTTCTCTTTAGCTATTACAGCCACACAATAATGGGAGGTTACAAAAAAAAGAGAGAGAGAGTCCAAAACCAAAACTCTCTCAGAAGTAAAAATATAATAGAAGAAATAAACAATTAAACAGAAGACTCAGAAAATTAAGTTGAGGAAATTTCCCAAAAGATATTGCAAAAGGGATGGAAAACAAGAGAAAAAAAAATTAGAGGATCACTCTAAAAGTTCAACATCTGAATGAAGACATTATAAAAGAACAGAAGAAAAAAATGGGGGGAAGAAGATCAACAAAATAATAAAAAAAATTTCTGTGAAGTGAAGGATATGATGGGACGAGGCCCCAGGTAAGAAGAGCCCCTTAAGTCTGTATGCAATGGATGCAGAAAGACACACCACCAGACGTGAAATATCAGAACACTGGGGACAAAAAACCTTTCAAAAGGAAAGAACATTTTGGACAAAGGAACAAGAATCAGAAGCAAAGCCTTCAAAATTCTAAAGCAAAATTATTTCCAATCTACACTTCTATAGCCCAGCCAAACTAGATATCTGAGTGGTGAATTAAAACATTTTCAAATAGGGGCACCTGGGTGGCTCAGCTGGATGAGCGTCTGACTGACTCTTGGTTTGGGCTCAGGTCATGATCTCAGGGTCATGATCTCAGGGTCGTGGAAATGGAGCCCCAAGTCAGGCTCTATGCTGAGCATGGAGCCTGCCTGGGATTCTCTCTCTCCCTCTCCCTCTGCCCCCATCCCCCCTAGCACACTATCTCTTTCTCTCTTAAAAAAATTTTTTTTTCAAACATACGAAGTCTAAAAAAAGTACTTCAAAAAATAAACTTTTTCTCAAGAAAGCTATTAGAAGATGAGCTACACTAAAATGAGGAAATAATCTGAGAGGTCAGAGGAGACAGAAAACATGAGACCCAAAGAGAATCCCCAAGATGGCAGTAAAAAGAGATCCCAGGGTGACAGTGATGCATCAGTTGGAAAGACAACCTGTCCAGATCACAGTAGGTCAGAAGACAACACAGAGATATTCATCAAGAGGACACAAGTAATAGAGCACCTGAAGCATCTAAAAATACCAAGAGGAAATTTACACAACTGTGGGAGGATTTCTAAAATTGACTGGTGATGGGTACATAGAAGACTATGCAAACAAAAAAGACAATTATCAACTCCATGGAAAGCAAAAACTTGTGAAGGAAAGAAAATGTAATCAATAGTACACTGCATGGCTCGACCACATAGCATATTTATAGGTCATGATACAGTGACTACACCATCCAATATTACGATACTTCTGAGCTGGGAAGTTGGCAATGAGGACAAAAAGGAGCTTGAATGTGACAGGGCAACAGTGATGAAATAAAGTTAAATCCTTATCTTTCAAAGAGAGAAATTTAGAGATAATGAGAAAAAATAAAGTTGAATCCTTACCTTTTAAAGAGAGAAACCCAGAGATATGAGAAAAACCCAAAGATAATGAGATAAGGTTTCTGTAATTATATAAGCATGTCACTTAAAGGTAGAAAGAAGAACAAAAAAAAAAAAAAATCAGTTAAAAAATTTGAGAGTGACTGCACTGGGAAAAAGAAATAGGGAGGTTCAGGGGACTGCAATTTTGCAAAGTAAGCTTTATGGAATTGTTTGATTTTTAAATTACTAGCATATATAATTCTATATAAAAATAAAAACTAAAAAACAAAAAAAATCATAGCCAAGGAAGCTCATCCTCATTTATACTCACATACTGGGCAGCCCCTGACATCTAACAAGAAGCTACGTTGTAGGTTATAATCGCCTTGACTTCACATTAGGTCTCATTATAACTACTGTAGTAAACAAAGTAAAAAAACCCAGAACAGTAAATATGCAAAATGACTCTGTAATATCAATACATGTAATGAAGTTGTGTAAAGAATAACAATTCAGGAAATGTTTGATTTCATGCAAAAAAAAAAAAATTAACATTTTATAATTATTTTGTTTTGCAATGTTAATCGAATCCCTTTGCATAAAAGCAATATACCTGGAACAGAGCTTTGCATTGAGAGGCACCCAATAAATTATAGAGGCTTGGTCTTCTTCTTTAACCCACTGAAATTGACCTTTTTTTTTTTTTTTTAAACCTTTTCTGATTAGAATTCTCAGGGTTCTAGCAAATCAGCTCCAGACTTATTTAAACAGAATCTGGGCCATAATCCAATAACAAACTGTTACTTGAAGGAAAAGGACTTCTGCCTTTGAGGATGTCACTGCTTCATAACCACTGAAACTGCAAGAGGACAGGATAGCTGTCTTAGTAAGATGATTTCAGTAAACCAGACACCCATCTTTTCTCTTTATTGCTCCAGTCCTATGACGTTAGATAAAAGAAAAGGATTCTTAACCAGGAATCAGTGGAACTGTGAGAGCCCGTTCGGAGCCCAAGATCATCCTAAAATTAGTATGCAAATGTTACATATTTTTGCCTATATGCCCCCTCCCTTTTGTTTGGCTGCAGAAAGGGTCTGTAACTTTTCATCAGATTGTCAAAAGTCTTCAATCCCAAAACAAATTAAGAGCAACTAAGAGAAAGAGGTGTGAGGACCAGCCAAAACATGATGGATACAACTGTGTTTGCTTTTTTATCTAGAGAATATATTCATATTGAAACTGTAGACAAATGCTTAATAATGGCAACATACTTTCCTTAGATTCTACCAGAAGAGGAAGGCAAGGAGGACAAGGGAGGAGGATCTTTATAATCTGAGAAGGGAAAATCCTTCCATGTTATATTGGGGTTTGCTGGTTAAGCAAACACTTTGTAGGAAAATAGACTTTTTAGTTTAAGTTTTCCAATGAAGAAAACTGGACTCTAAATATATGTGGCAGATTAAATGTCAGCCCTCCCCCTCCTCTTTCTACAGATCCTATAGTGCTGTTTCAATGTGAGTACTGTGTCCAGCAATACACTAGAATGTGGAAATCCCCAAGCTAAATTCTATAAAACATTTGATATCTAAAAGTAATTTGAGTATTTTCTAATATTCTCACAATATGTCATGATATCATTGACTAGACTGCTAAACAGTATACTTTTTCATATCCTATTTACACCCAAACCATTAAATAGTATTATTAAAAGCTACTGATGACGTATAAATGTAGCATCAGTTTGTAGAAAAGATATAATTCAATTGTTCTTCTTTATAAAGAGTCTAGCTAGAATGAGAATTAACATGTAAAAAAAAGCAAGATGTCACTGAAGAATTATACATACTCTTCAAATTTATATATACACCCTCTTTCTTACCTTATCGTGTACTGAGGACAACATGTTTGATTCATGACAGGCTTATACACATATTTCCCGCTTCTAAAATTAAAAAGTAGTTTTGTTAATGTCTTACACATTTCTCACATGTACTAAAGTAGACTAGTACAGGAGTACAAAATTAGAGTAAAAATCTAACCAATAACATAAAAACATTTAGTTACTCTTCATAACCTAAATAATCTTGCAACATAGACATACCAAGGACAGAGTCCAGCCTTTTCTTTCCTAAACCCTGATATGTGTACTCCAAACCTCTTCACCTCAATCACCCCCTCAGCAGCACCTGCAGTCCTTCCATGCCTCAGCCCACCACCAATCCTCAATACCATAAAGGCAATCAGAGGAAATCGCTCAGGATGAGGTGACGCTGATGGGAGCCACAGCCTACGATATCCACAGGTGAGGGCTCCACGTGTAGTAGCACAAGATAGCCCAAAATTAACCTGATGCTTTCAGTGCTTTCTGGATCTCAGTTAGTGGCAGAGCCATGACATTATGGATTGAATCGTGTCCCCTCAAAATTCGTATTTTGAAGCCCTAACCCCCAGTACCTCAGAATGGAACTGTATTTAGAGACAAGGCCTTTAAAGAGGTGACCAAGTTAAAATGGCAGTAAGATGAGCCCTAACGCAATCTGAATGCTATGCATATAAGAAAAGGAAACTGGGGGCACCTGGGTGGCTCAGTCGGTTAAGCATCTGCCTTCAGCTCAGGTCATGATCCTGGAGTCCTGGGATTGAGCCCCATATCGGGCTCCCTCCTGGGTGGGGAGTCTGCTTGTCCCTCTCCCTCTGCCTCTCCCTACCCCCCCTTGTAGTCTCTCAAATAAATAAATAAAATCTTTAAAAAAAAAAAAGAAGAAGAAGAAAAGGAAACTGGAAATACAAAGAGACACTAGGCACTAGGGATATATATACAAAGAGAAAGGACCACGTGAGGCCACAGCAAGAAGACAACAGCAATGTACAAGCCAAGGAAGGGCCTTCAGAAAAAAATAAAACTGCAGACACCAGGATTTTGGAAATTTCAGCCTCCAGTACTGCAAGAATATAGAGTCCTGTTGTTTAAGATACCCAGTCGGTGGTATTTTATTATGGCTGCCCAAGTAAACGTACATGAGCTCGGTTCCTGAGTCAGAAACCTGGGAGTCATCTCAGATTCCTCCCTCTAAAGCACCCCTATATCCAATCAGCAAGCTTTCTACTTCTAAAATGTACCCCTTACGTCTGTCCCCTCCCATCTATCTTCTAACCTATAGCCACTGATGATGACAGCATTGTCATGAGATGATCAAGTCACAACCGGACCCTTCAGGGATCTCTGGAATGAGTCTTCCTGCCTTTGCAATCACCCCCTCAAATACCTCTCTGCCATCTGAATGATCATTTCCAAAACACAAATTCCATCACAATTCTGACATAAAAGCTTTCAATGGCTCCCCTCCACCTTTTAAAAAAGAAGTTCATCATGGCATACAAAATCCTTCAACATCCAACCTAGATCTACCTTTTGGGTCTCATTATTAAGTTTAAGAAAAGGTGTGAAGTTTTATTTGCTGTGCTCAATCCCATGTCTTTTGGGGAGTATTGGCACAGAACATTTAGCACTGTTTATATTTACATAAGGAACTTTATACATTCTAAAATCATCTATAAAAAGGTAATTACCAAAAAAACTTAGCCATCAAAGGCAAAGTGTGGACCTTAATGGAATCCTGACTCAAATAAACCAACTATAAAAAAAAAAAGGACATTTCTGAGACAAGCAAAAAATCTAATCAAACTAAGTAACAGATGACATCAAAGAACTATTGTGTAAAAGATGATAATGGTATCGTAGATACATTAAAAAGGAAAAAAGAATCCTTTCTTAGAAACATATATTTATTACAGGTCTACTAAGAGGATACCTGAAATTGCTTTAAATTATTTTGTGGGGGAGGAGGGAACATCTTAGTTTGTTCAAGCTGATGTAACAATATGTCACAGACTGAGTGGCTTATAAACAACACAAATGTATTCCTCATAGTTCTGGAGGTTGGGAAGTCTAACACATTAAACATTAAAAAAGTCTAACACCAAGGTGCTGACATATTCTATGTCTGGTAAAGATAAGCTTCCTGGTTCATATTTTTGTTGTAACCTCACATGGCAGAAAGGGCAAGGGAGCCCTCGGGGGTCTCTTTTACAAGGGCACCAATCCCATTTGTGAGGACTCCACCCTCTGACCTAATCACCTCCCAAAGGCCCACCTCCAAATACCATAAAATTGGGGAAGGGAGTGACAATGATACACGCACATTCACTCCATTGCAGGGAGCAAGGAGAACTGATGCAACAAGATTGGCAAAATGTTAACAAGTGTTAACATGTACCTAGCCTGAGGATAGGTACATGAGGTTCATTATACCATACTCTCTACATTTATGTGTATTTGAAGTTCTCCTAATAAACATCTTTAAAAGGAGAGAGAAAAGAATCACTACACAAAGAAATACAATAAAAAAAAATTCTTAAACCTCTTTCCAAAAACAGGAAAACATTTTAAAGGCAAACAATATTTTGCAATTATAAGAAGAACCTCAGTAACAAGAGAAGTGTCTTTGTATTAAAGAGCTTTACCTTCGCCATCCTCGATCTATAAGATCCTGATAATCCTGTACTGTCATTGAATGTGCCCACATGCCTGAAAAAATAAGTGCCACGTGCCATGTTAATTATAGCAGGTCAAACTTTTTTTTTAATTCAAAGCATTCTTTAAATGTGAATATTGACGCAAAAAAAAAAAAAAATCTAGCTCACACTGGAGAAATGAAAGTTTGCACATACTTCATACTTGTTTGACATAACATACAACACAGATGGAAAAGATATTTATCTTCATTTTAAAAATCAGACACATCTAAGTGATTATATTTAATTCAGGATTAGCCAATAGTCTCTATGGCATCATATATTTAAGGTCCTTACTGTGATCAGATTATATCACACTTTTAAGCCATAATAATATCCCCTATAATTTAATAAGCAAGTCTCTTCAAAAGAACTGAAAAGCAAATGTTTCCTGATGCATATAAATTTTCCTGATTTTTATGTTTTTAGCATAGTCTTGGATATTGAAAATAGAACAAAAGTATACAGCAATATTCCTTTTAAGTATAAAAACTGAAAGTAATTGAAATGCCCAGGAACAGAAAAGTGATTACAGGGACTATGATATTATCCATATGATGGAATAATTATGCAATTATTATTGAAAAAAAGGAAGACTACGAGAAAACATTAAAAGGTATTATTTGAATTAATGTTAAAAGAAATTTTTTCTCTTGTAAACAGCAAACTGCATCAGAGGTATATAGACAGAGGTAGGCTTAATAGTACAAGAGGTATTCAGAAACAGAAATGTCCAGAAGCCTGGCAGGCACTCATTAACACTGAGTTATTTTATTAGCCTCAAATTCATCATCTATAAAATAGGAGTAATAAAACCTACCTAATAGGTGGGGTGCCCTATGGTAAAGATGATCAGAATTAAAATATATATAATGGAAATTTACAGTTCTCTCTTTAGGTGAAAAGGGTAAAAGCAGGTTTCTTCCACAGGACTTTAAACAAAGGACATCTATATTAATCAATTTCCTCTTACTAAAATTACTGGGGAGGGGCGCCTGGGTGGCTCAGTCATTAAGCGTCTGCCTTCGGCTGGGGTCATGATCCCAGGTTCCTGGGATCGTGCCCCACATCGGGCTCCCTGCTCCGCGGGAAGCCTGCTTCTCCCTCTCCCACTGGCCCTGCTTGTGTTCCCTCTCTCGCTATATCTCTCTGTCAGAAAAATAAATAAAATCTTTAAAAAAAATAAATAAAAATAAAAATACTGGGGAAATAATAATTAAGGATCTATGAAAATAGTCACTTTAGACACCTTTAATAAAAAGTGCTTATAACACACATACTGTAGTCACAATACTAAAATTCTGAAAAAGGGAGGTATCTCTAATACCCTAAGGCATCCACTGTCACCAGTTGGTGTGTCTTTCCTGGGTTTTTATCCTCCCAGAACTGTGATCATGTCACATGCGTCATTTGCATCCTGTTTTTCTCCGTTCAACCCTACACTTAAACATTCTTCTGTTAGCTCATCTTCATAACCATCACTCCTAATGACTGCATTATATTACATTCTGCTCCCTCTTACCTGCAAGCATCTAATAAACGATTTCAATTAATAAGTAAATGGACATACCATAATCGTCCAAATCATTCCCCTGCTGTAGGGCATTTATATTTTTCTTAAATGGAAATTACGTAAATTTGTATCTTCACGGTTATCCCATTTTCCACAATGCTGGACTGACTACTCCTTGAAAAAGATTTTGTATCTGCCAATGCACGACACAGCGGGAAATAAACATAATGTTTTGTTTACAAAAAACAAGTCTTCCGAAATAAACCTGAACCACGACAAGCTGGCTTTGTCGTCGTTCTGGAAGTGGGTGGAGAAATGACAAGGCATATAAGCACCTGGTAAAATTTTCATACACATTGTACAAACAGGCTCCCTCGCCAGCAGCGCCTGTGGTCGGTCGGTCACCAGTGTCTTGTATGCTCTTCCAGACATTTTATCCAGATGCCCATGCCCACATATGCACACACACGTCTTTCTACACAAATAGCCCACCCGACACGCCGCATTCTACAATCAAAATCGGGGTCGATCCCACATCAGCAGCATCCGCCGGCCCCAGCGGAACTGACCGCACTCCAGTGCTCCCTGGCACGGCATGCTGTCACATATTTAACCGTCTCCTACTGACCGAAGACGGACACCTGTTTCCACACTTTGGGCCACGGCGAGACAATCACTATCTCGCACGTCCGAGCACCTGCGTGAAGGATAAGCACCTAGATGCTTCCCTGATGAATCAGAGCTGAGGTCCATTTTTAGTTGACAGCCACAGCCCAAACCGCGAGTCGCGTTCCGCACACCCGCCTCGGGAAAGGACCTGGCCGGGGGCTCCAGCCGCCGCGCGTCGCTCGAGCCGGTCGGCCCGGGCCAGGGCGCCGCGACCCCCGAGGACGCCCGCCGGCCGCGGAGCCCCCGAGGCCGCGACGCCCTCCCCCGCCCGCCGGCCCGCTCACCATTGGAGCGACTGCCCGACTCATTCTTGCAATAGCCGCAGCGGTAGGAGTCCTCGCCCTCGAAATACTCCACGATGCTGGGCGAAAGAGCGGCCCAGGAAGCCATGGCCCCTACCCTCCAAACGCGACGCGACCCAGCCCAGCCCCGCCGCCGTCGCCGCCACCCCACAATGCTCCGCGCCGCCTGGGAGTCCCCGAGGCGCGCGCGAAGCTGCTCGGGCGCCCGCAGGCCGGGTTCGCCAGGAGTCCCGCACGCTGACGCCGCCCGCGCCATCTTGACCGAGGGCAGCCTTCCGCTATTTCCGTTCCTTCTCCGACCAGGACGGCCATCTTCGGTGAGGGTGAGGAGGAGAGGGGAGCGTGAAGGGAAATAGTCTGGGGGGAAGCGTCTGGGAGAGGGGAGTGAGAGTCTGGGGACTCGGGCCTGTGAGCTCCCAGGCGAGGGGCTGGCGGCGCGGCGGGCGGTGCGGGGGTCGGACGCCAGGCGGCCGCGCCAGCCCCGTCCGTGGGGACACTCACCGCAGGACACCTTGCCCTCCTCGGAGTCGCAGTAGCCGCAGCGGTAGCCAGCCTTGAGCCCCTTGTATTCCACCACCGAGGCCATGGCTGCCTCCAGGGTCCGCCGGGGCCAACCACGCCTCTCGGCGCCCTGGGGCCAACCTTGGCGGAGCGCGGGGGCCCGCGGCGGGGAGGGGAGGAGGACGAAGCCTGGGGGGAGCGTCTCAGCGCCGCGCCCCGCGCCCCTGGCACCTCCTCGGGGCCTCGGTCTCTGCTGGTGCAGAGGCCTGCAAGAGAACGTAGCGAGGTGTAGTCGTGCCCCCGGGCCCCGAGTTAGGGCCAGCCCCTGGCGTAATCCCTTGCCGAGCATTCCTGCAACTGCTCATTGTCAGCGCCGTTTTACAGATGAGGAAACTGAGGCACGGAGGTTGTGACTCAGTCGTTTCCTGCAGGTTTCAGTATAAAAGTTACTCTCTCGGGCCGTCCCTGACAGCCATCTGGGTAGCCAGCTCAGGTGTCTTCCAAACCAGCACGTCCGCTCTTCAATGCCATATGCAGGTGTTCTGTGAATGGCGGGCGTAGGTGACTTGAACACTTGATGTTTTTATTTTTTATTTATTTTATTTTTTAAAGATTTTATTTATTTATTTGACAGAGAGAGACACAGCGAGAGAGGGAACACAAGCAGGGGGAGTGGGAGAGGGAGAAGCAGGCTCCCCGCAGAGCAGGGAGCCCGATGCGGGACTCGATCCCGGGACCCTGGGATCATGACCTGAGCTGAAGGCATTCGCTTAACCAACTGAGCCACCCAGGCGCCCAGCACTTGATGTTTTTAAAGCAAACAGCTTTCAGAGCCAGTAGCCGCCTTGTGCCATTATAAGCCTATTGCCACCACATCTTATAACTTTGAAAGAGGAGATGAAAATCTTGATTTTTAGTGTACAATTTTTTTAATGTTATTTTTAAAGTTTTTTTTTTTTTTTTTTTTTTTTTTTAACTGTACAGGCCAAGCAAAAGATTTATGTAGCTGAATTCAGCCTGTGGACTTCCAATTTGCAACCGCTATTTTAAAGAGGATTTTTTTAGGGAGTAACAGTGGAGCAAAGCATAAAAATGAGTACCGCCGACAAGGTAATATTCCTTAATCGTTAGGTGCATAGGTAATTTAAGATGGTCTTTATTTTTCCTTGTCAACAATAAAGCTGATTCTCTTTTTGCAGTGTTTTAAAAAGTGAAATCATGAAACTTGGAGAAACAGGTAAACTTTGGAGGTCAGTTTTAACATTCTTGACCCCAAGGTCCACTATGTTGGATACATGCCTGCTTGGTATGTTGGATACATACCAAGATACCAAGGTGTCTTGGTAGCCCCGTGACCTGTTATATTATGAAGCATCACTTGTGCCTCACACAATGGGAAAAGACCTAAGGGATAGCTATGTAGCATGTAGGAGGTTCTCAGGGCCCCTCTAGGTTTCTCCAGTGCCTCCTCAAACTTGAAGGTTCCTTGCTACATATCAGTACCCATTAAGACAGACTTCATTCATTTTGTCCATTATGGCAGATTTGAATATTCCTGGTCCTTTCCCAGAGGCTCTCATTTTGGAGGAAAGTAAAACCCTGTGGAATGAAACGAAGACAGCAGATGCCATGCTCAGACGGAAAGGAGGAGGCCAGGAGGCTTTTTGCTTTTATTATAGTCCTGTACCGATTCACTTCTGTCCCTTTGTCCCAACCTTAGCCCAAGCCTTAGACCAACCTCTGCCAGGGAATGCCAACCTAGAGCTATTATGTCAATGTCCTAGGCATATGTATCCTTAGAGCAACTTCACAACAAAGGAAATGAAGACCAGAGAGGCTAAATAACCTACACAAGATCACACAACTAGTAAGAGACATAAGAGAGTATGCGTGGAGGGCAGGGAGAGACCAAAGGTAGAGGCAGGTCACTCCAGGTTGGTAGGTGGCAGTTGTTTGTTTTTAAGATTTATTTATTTTACAGACAGAGAAAGAGAGTGTGTGAGCATACATGCGAGAGGGGTAGGGGTAGAGGGAGAGAATATCCAAGCAGATTCCCACTGAGCGTGGAGCGCGACGTGGGGCTCCATTTCACAAGCCATAAAATCAGGACCTGAGCTGAAACCAAGAGTCCGATGCTTAACCTACTGAGCCACCCAGGTGCCCCCATTAGTGGAAGTCTTAATAAGCAAAGGGAACTTACATATGAGGCTTGTCTTGGGCAGCAGCAAGATGAGTGGATCCCCACACAGCCATACTAGCCAAGGCTATTGAACACCTGAATCTTAAAAGTTTGTATAGAGGGGCTCCTGGGTGGCTCAGTTGGTTGAGTGTCTGCTTTCAGCTCGGGTCATGATCCCAGGGTCCTGGGATCAAGCCCTGCATCGGGCTCCCTGCTCAGCGGGGAGCTTGCTTCTCCCTCTCCTTCCCGCTCCTGCTCTCTCTCTCTCGCTGTCTCTGTCTCTCTCTCTCAAATAAATAAAATCTTAAAAAAAAAAAAGTTTGTATAGAGAGAGGCCTTAACTGGGTCCAGTCAAGTGTACTGTGCAGGTGTTCTCACCATCACATCATTATCTCAAGGCAATATCCTTGCAGCAACCTCTGGGAGTGCAAGAGGCAAGTGGGACCCACATTCCAAGGACAGGGGAGGAGGCGAGGAGCCTCTGATCACCTGGGTCCAGCTCATGGGTCAACTGGTGGTCTCACATCTTTTCAATGACCTTCCACAACAGAGGGAGAAAGGTGATAAAAATAAAATTGTGGGAAAGAGATCAACAAAGACTACAGGGCAGTGGTTCCTAGATGTCTTTATTTTGCTGAAATTTAGAGACAATAAGTTTTCATCTTCCAGGCCTAAATGAGAAAAATAAAGCAGAGCTTCAGTTTCCCCCTTTTTGTGGACAGACATGGGAAGAGGACATTATTAGAATGTTCTTTTATTCATGAAATTGCCAGCAATAGATAGTTGTCTTTACTTTTAATTTTCTTACTTAATGAAATGAAATGCTGGCAACACTAGCATGTGTGGGCCCATTAACATTTCTTATAGTACTGAGTGTGATATCAAGTCTGCAAAGCTGAGTGAAACTCAGTACAAGGCCCTGATGATGTGAAGGAATCTGCATGGGATAGGCCCAATTCATGTCCCTTAAAGGGAATGATGTGAAACACATTTCATTTTTTCTTCTGAAAAAAGTGTTTGAGTTGGGGCCTAAGTTAAGTCAGGAAAAAAAAGAGTAAAATACAGATAACCTGAGGCAGAGAAGAGGGGCATTCTAGGAAGGAGGTGCAGCATGAGCAGAGAGACAGGGAGTTGGATAGGACCACGAGGGGTCTCAGGTGCTGGTGATGGTTAGAAGATGCTTTCCTTGTGGGCCATTCACTGCCAAGAGGCCTCAGATTTGACTTTTCCCTCCCAACATGTAGATATGTGCTCTCCAAATTGGTAGTGTAAAAATTAATAAGAGAAACCTCATTTAGAATGAAAATGAGAGAGCTCTCATGCCCTTATCATTAATTGCAGACCCAAAGTAAGAAACATCTTGCAGGGTGGATACTATTTTACTACCCAGCAGGAGGAAGAAAGTTCTTTCTCTTGCCCTGGCAACAACCCAGCCAATGAAAAGCCACTCTACTTCAAAACTCCAAAGGACTTTTTGTTTACTACCACCCTCCTAAATTCCTCCTTTCCTCTATAAAACGGGGTTCCTCTCCTTTGTTTTCTGGACTAGCCTGTGGTTTTGCTGTGGCTTGCTTGTCCCAGATTAAAGTTCTCTGCTATCCTCAAATAAACCCATTTTTGCTAGGAAAATAACTGACAGTTTTATTTTTAAGTTTAACAGTAGCTACTAGCCATTCATGGCTATTGAGTACCTAAAATATGCCTAGTGAAGCAGGGGAACTGAGCTTTTTATTTTAATTTATTTAAATTTATTTGAATTTTTAAATTATAGTGGTGTAAAACATGAGGCAGGATAAATGCCAAAAATGTAAGCATAATGATATTCAAAATGTATAAAATCAAAGACAAGCAAATCTCTTGAAAAAGCCAGGGGAAAGAAAACCCTTACTGATAGAAGGGCAAGAATAAGAATTACATTGGACTTTTCTTTGGAAAGCATGCAAGCAAGAAGAGAGGGAAGTGAAATACTTAAAGTGTTGGGGAAAAAAAAAACAACAACCTACAATTCTGTATCCAGCAAAATTATCCTGCAAAAGTGAAAGAGAAGTATAGCCATACCTCAGAGATATTGGGGTTCAGTAGCAGACCACTGCAGTAAAGCAAATATTGTGATAAAGCAAATCAAATGGATTTTTTTGGTTTCCCAGTGCACATAAAAGTAAATGTGCGATGGCATTATGTCTTAAAAAAAGTGCATACTTTAATTTAAAATGCTTTATTACTAAAAAATGCTAACCACCATCTGAACTCTCAGCCAGTCATCATCACTGATCGCAGATCACCGTAACAAATATAATAACAAATTTAAAACACCAGAAGAATTACCAAAATGTGACACAGAGACACGAAGTGAGCAAATACTGTTGGAAAAATATTGCCAGTAAACTTGCTCAATGCACGGTTGTCACAAACCTTCAATTTAAAAATACACAGTATCTGCAAAGTGCAGTAAGGTGAAGCTCAATAAAACAAGGTGTTCCTATAAAGATTTTCTCAGACAAACAAAACTGGAGGGAATTTGTCACCAGTAGACCTAATTTGCAAGAAATGTTAAAGAAATTCTTCAGGAAGAAGGAAAATGATATAGGTCAGAAACTAATTTACATAAAGAAAGGAAAAGCATTATTAGAGAAGGAACAAACGGAGATAAAATCAGATTTTTCATTTTTAAAAATTTAATTGCTCTAACAGATAACAGAGGGTCAAAATAGTAATAGCAACTTGCATACAGTAATTTTATGTTTATGGGTAAGTGAATAACAGCAGTGTTATAATGGATGGGAGGGAGGAACTGGGAATACTCTTTTAAGGTACTTGCACTGCCTATGAAGTGACGTAATGTTATTTGAAAGAGAACTTGGATTAGTTGTGAATGTATAGTGTAAACTCAAGGACAACCATTTAGAAAAGAAAAAAAAATTGCTCTGCTTAGAGAAGAGAAAAAAGAATTATGAAATGCACAGTTAAAACCAGAAAAAGAGTGGAAGACAAAAAAAAAAAAACAAGAAAAGAAAGAAAGAACAAGAGCAATGACTAGAAAACAATAACAAATATAGTAGATATTAATCCAGTTACATCAATAATCATTTTAAATGTCAATGGTTTAAATATACCAATTAAAAAACAGACTGTCAGACTGGATAAAAAAAATAAGACCCAACTATTTATCTACCAAAAACAAAATCCACCTTAAACATAAAAACAAAGATAGATTAAAAGTAAAAGGATGAAGAAAGATAGACTGCTGTTAACACTAGTCAAACAAAAGCTGGAGTAGCTATATTAAATTCAAAGTAAATTTCAGGGCAAGGAAAGTTAGGGATAAAGAGGGACATTACATGATGGTAAGTGGTCAATTCTCCAAGAAAACAATTTTTAATGTATATGCACCTAGTTACAGAGTGGCAAAATATGTGAGGTGAAAACTGAGACTTGCAAGGAGAAATAGATGAATCCACTATGATATTTAGAGACTTCTGTACCCGTATATCGGTAACTGACAGATCCAACAGGCAGAAAATTTGATTGAACTCAACACCACCATCAATCAACTGGATCTAACTGACATCTATAGAATCCTTAATCCAGTAGCAACAGAATACACACTCTTCTCAAGCTCACATGGAACATTTACCAAAATAGACCACCTTCTGTGCCATAAAAAAACAAGTTTAAAAGAACAGAAACCATACAAATTATGCTTTCAGATCACAATGGAATTAAACTAGATATCAACAACAGAAAGGTAGTTGGAGAATTTCAAAATATTCAGATTAAATAACAACTTCTAAACAACGCTTGGACCAAAGAAGTTCAGAAATATTTTGAACTAAATGAAAATACAATTGACCTTGAACATGCTGGGGTTAGGGGTGCCAGCACCCCCACACACAGTCAAAAATCCACATATAAATCTTGACTCCCCCAAAAC